TATACCATCTATCAACTGCTATATATTTTTTAGTACTAGACATGTGTTTGTTCTCTGTCGTGCATTCTATAATTATCTATCGCTCTCTGTCACTCATTTATAAACTTTTGGAGAAATGATTGTACCAGTGCTGTTTGTATTTAGATCTTTAGTGTCAAGTCCAGGGCTAGGGCACAGCAGACTCTGAATAAACATTTATTCAATGAAGGAAGTGGAATAAACCAGGCTTTTCATCACTTTGAATCCCACGCTGTTGTACCCAGACGTTCTTCACCTAAAGTTTGATAAATGAAACAATGAAATAATGATGGAATAATTTCTACACTGAAATGTTTTTTTCTGGTTTTTGCTTCTTGTAGTATTGATTCTCATAGATTCCATTTACTATTGCTTTTTTAAAGTTGAAATAGAGTGTCTCTCACCCTATTTTTTTTCTCTCTTCCTTTTTCATTTGATACATTGCCACAAATTTTTTTTTGGACTTTCTTTTTAGAACATTGTGAACTTTCTAATATTCCACACCTATTTCTCTTTTTTTCCTCCCGTATTTTTCACAAATATAAAATTGCCCATCCTGTTCTTTAAGCATGTACACTATGAACGGCTTGAGGATGTAAGCGGCCATGGAGACATATTGTATTTTCAGCAGAATGTGAGAAGAAAAGCTGATGAACTTTCTCACAAAGAGGCTGTTTCAGTCCCCTGAATCTCTTGGGTGAGTTTTCATCTATGTCTTTCTGTCTGTCTGTCTGTGTGTATCTATCTATCTATCTATCTATCTATCTATCTATCTATCTACCTAGCTCCTCATATGGCACTGTAGGGTAAGCACTAGGCTGCTAACCACAAGAACAGTGGTTCAAACTTACCTGGCACTCCTTGGAAACCCCTCCCCATACAAACACATATACACACATGGGAGAGCTAGTGGCAATGTAGGATAATCACTGGACTGCTAACCACCAGGTTGGCAGTTCAAGCCCACCAGCCAATCCATGGGAAAAAGATGAGGCTCTCAGCTCCTGTAGATATTTATAGACTATACAGGGTTGCTCTGAGTTGGAATCAATGCAACAACTCTTAACAACATATATATTAATATTCTACCACATGAACCTTTAAATGTAACAAACACCTTTTTACATCAGCAATATGTTTAAGCTAATAAAATAAAATAAAAGAAGTACAGCTAGAAGTTTCCTTAGAAACCAGGAGAACATGATTTGTCTCATGTACTTTAGACTTGTTATCAGGCAGGACCAGTCCCTGAAAAAGGACATTTTGCTAGGTAAAGTAGAGGCTCTGCGAATAAGAAAAGGAACCTCACCAAGATGGACTGATCTAGTGGTTCAACAATGGGTTCAAACATTGTCAAACATGACAATGATTGTGAGGATGGGATAGGGCCAGCCAGTGTTTTATTCTGTTGTATATAATAGAGTAATTATGAGTCAGTAAGAGTCCTGGTGTGGCACTGTAGGACAAGCACTGGACTGCTAACCACAAGCTCAGTGGTTCGAACTTACCAGCCACTCCTCAGAAACCCTACGTAGAGTTGCTATGAGTCAGGACTCAACAGTACTTAACAACAACAACGTTAGAGTCTCTAGGAATTGACAAAATACAAATTGAAATGTTTTAACAAACTGATACAGCACTGGAAGTCCTCACTGGTATGCCAAGAAATTTGAAAGACTGTTACCTGGCCACCCAATTGTGAGAGATGCAGATTTGTGCCCATTCTAAAGAAAGGCGACCCAACAAAATGTGGAAATCATATAATGATATCATTAATATCACATACAAGTAAAAAATCTCCTGAAGATATTTCAATAATGACTGTAGCAGTACATTGACAGGGAGCTGCTGGAAATATAAGCCAGAGTCAGAAGAGAATGTGAAATGAGGAATATCATTTCTGATGTCAAATAGATCTTGGCTGAAAGCAGAGAATACCAGAAGATATTTACTTTTGCTTTACTAACTATGCAAAGGCATTCGTCTGTGTGAGTCATAACAAACTGTGGGTAATATTGGGAATAATAGGTATTGCAGGACATTTAATTGTGCCCATGACGAACTTACACATAGTCCAAAAGGTAATTGTTCGAACAAAATAAGGGTACACTGAACGGTTTAAAGTAAAGGAAGGGGTGTGCCAAGATTATATCCTATCACTGTATTTATCCAATCTATACTCTGAGCAAATAATCTGAGAAACTGGATTATACAAAGAAGAACACAGCATTAGGATTGGAGGAAGACTCATTAGCAACCTGCAATGTGCAGATGACACAACTTTGTTTGCTGGAAGTGAAGAGGACTTGAAATACTTAATGATGAAGATTAAAGAATACAGCCTTCAATATTAATCTTACCTCAATCCACATTCATGGAAGCAGCAGTCAAGAAATCAAACTAACATCAAGGATCAATCCTATCCCCTCTGTATACAGGGTTGATAGGGACAGGCAATTTAAACATTAGCTACATAAAATGAGGGGGGGGGGCAGCGGCAATAGATACATGAAGTGACTGGCTTACAAGTTTTCAAGAGGGAGTTTAGTTTCAGAGTGTGTAGGGGAAGGTAGAACCCCCGGCGAATCATTTTCATCTTGTCTAGACTGGTCTGGTGAAAGGAGATGGAGATAAGATTCTTATGATTCAAAAGTGAGTAATTGTTATTGTGATTAATTGCAATAGAAGTTTTGTAACATAAAGGGGGGAGTAGTTAATCTTACAGTCCAGGAACAGAAGACCCTAGGACCATCAAGGAAGAAGAGCACAAGTGGAATGTGGGACCCTATCCAGAGAAGCAGTGATTGAGGCAGAGATGATGACACGGAGAGAGGGAGCAGTTGAGGACCCTGGACTCATGAAAAGAGAAAGACTGTGTGCTGGCAGCCAGGAGGCAAGCTTGCAGAATGTGTTCTTTGATTAGTTGTTTAAATGATTGTATATTCCCAAGTGTTTTTGTGTACACTGAAACAAAACAAAACAAAACAAAAACAACCAGAGGGATAGAAGCAAATACTGCTGAATGATGATGCATGGACGCGATTGTAATCATTGCAATGAAATGAAATACAACAGGCTGAGTGTAAAACTGATGTTCTCCCATGCAAACTACCACTCAATTCACAATAAAAAGAAAAAAAGCAAACATCGTATTGCATTAGGCAAATCTCTTTTAAAGTGTTAAGAAGCAAAGATCGTTTTAAGAGCTAAGATGTGTCTGACTTACGCCATGGTATTTTCAATTGTCTCATAACCATATGAAAGTTGGACAATGAATAAGGAAGACCATAGAAGAAATGACACACTTGAATTATAATGATGTAAGAGCATGAAAGTACCATGGATTCTCAAAAGAACAAACAAATCTATCTTGGAGGAAATAGGCGGGTGAGTCAAAAATTGTTCGTCCTCCAGTTATATGAAAACTTCTGTTGACTGCCCTATCTTGTCATTGTTTTCCATTCAAGGTCACCTGCTGTGAAGGTGTGAACTTAGACATCTGGAAATAAAATTTGGACTGATACTTGAAGGAAGGTAAAAGTTTGTTTTAAAAAACGTGTTACTGGTGGATTCATCATTTATGAGCCTTAGAGATGGAGTGGCAGAGTATGGAATGGAAGGAAACATCCTCAATGGCTGACCAAGAAAGAGTTCAAATGTCAACTATCAGCTGGAAATGAATGCTTATAGTTTTCAGGGATTCTCAAAGGCCAGTATTGGAACACTATCTGGGAAAAGGTTCAATTGCCGACTGTGCTTGTTAAAGTGAGATGCTCACTGAAGAGCTGAAGCCTCAATTTGGGACTAAACTCAGATGACTGCTATTCAAGGGCTTTGGGATCTTGCATGACAATGCACATCCACACACCTCTGCTCACACTGTTGACACTCTGTAAAAATTTCCTTTTGAGGGGTTAAAACATCCTTCCTATAGTCCTGATCTTGCTCCGTTGGACATGCTTCATCCCCTGAAAGCAGCCCTTTGAGGATTAAGATTCACCTCTGATGAAGAAGTGAAGAGAGCAGTGCATTTGAGGTTCGAAGCTAGGCTTAAAACTTTTTTTTTTTTTTTTTTTTTAACAAGGGAATACGAAAGCTTGTTGACAGATGGAAAAAGTGTGTTGAAAAGCAAGACTATGTTGAAAAATGATGCATTTTTTTCTTTCTAAAAGTTGATTAAAATAAATTCTACAGCCAGAGTACAGATAATTGTTGATTCGACTTTATATACCCAGAATGTTCCTTAGAAGTGAGACTGGTGAGACTTTGTCTCTTATCCTTTGGACATGTTGTCAGGGTAGACCAATCCCTGGAGAAGGACATCAGGCATAGTAAAGGAGGATATCAGTGAAAAAGAGGAAGACCCCTTAATGAGATAGACTGACATAGAAGTGCAACAATGGGCTCAAACATAACAACAATTGGGAGAATGGGACAGGACCCAACAGTATTTAGTTGGGTTGTACATAGGGTTGTTAGGAGTTGGGACTGACTCAATGGCACCTAACAACAACACAGGGTTTCCGAGGATCAAGTGGGTTTGAATCACCAACCTTGAAGTTGGCAAGCCAGTGCTTATCCTACAGTGCCACACCCTTTAACTGCTGCTCACAAATTCTGATCTGGATGTCTCTTTAGTCCTGAGAAAGTTTTGAAATGGGTTAAACAAAGACAAATTGTTGAGTCATCAGACAGGTCAAAATACACAATCAACATTTCTTGAGAACAAGTATTCATATTGCCCTCTCTGGTAGCAGCAAGTCACATAACCAAGAAAGATACCACTTTAATTTAAGGGGACAGAAATGACTTTGATGGTAAATGAACAACTTATCAATACTTTGTGTTTAGCTAATGGAGGTTTTGAGAAAAATGATCTAATCTAATGCAGTGTACTATATATTATATATATTTCTAGAGTTTGGATCCGTATCAAGATACTCTGAAGAACAACAATCTTTTGTAATAACTATGGTGACATCATGATTGAAGACAAAGAACCTATTGTCAGAAACTTTCGTTTTGTTTGTGTCTTGGCCTTAACATTTGGAGCCATAATTCAGTTCTCTACTGAAAGTGAGTTTACAGTAGATCTGACAAAAAGAGGCCTTACTCAGTTTCCAAAAGACCTACCACCAAAAACCAAAGTCTTAGATATGTCTCAAAACTATATATCTGAACTTCAGGTCTTGGACATCAGCATTTTGTCAGGATTGCAAGTTTTGTTACTTCCTCATAATAGAATCCAACAACTTGATCTTACTGTTTTCCAGTTCAACCAAGATTTGGAGCATTTGGATTTATCTCACAATCAGTTGTCCAAGATAACCTGCTACCCTGTTGTACATCTCAAGCATTTAGATCTCTCATTCAATGACTTTGATGCTCTTCCCATCTGTAAGGAATTTGGCAGCTTGATGCAGCTGGACTTCTTAGGGTTAAGTGCCACAAAGTTAAAAAAACTAGACCTGCTGCCCATTGCTCACTTGCATCTAACTTACTTACTTCTGGATTTAGAAGGCTACAGAGTGAAAGGAAATGGAATAGAAAGTCTTCAAATATTCAATACAAAGAAACTTCATCTTATTTTTCATCCAAATAATTTTTTCTCTGTTCAAGTGAATATATCAGTTAACACATTAGAATTATTAGAACTTACTAACATTAAATTAAACGATAAGAACTGTCTAAAGTTAACTCTCCTTTTATCAGAACTCATCAGGGGTCCACACTTATTAAATTTCACCTTGAACCATGTGGAGACAACTTGGAAATGTTTGGTTCAAATTTTTCAATTCCTTTGGTCCAAACCTATAGAATCTCTAAATATTTACAGTTTGATAATAGTTGAAGGCATTAATAAAGAGAATGTTACTTATTCTAACACTACATTAAAAGCATTGAAAATAGAACATATTCAAAATAGCGTGTTTCTTTTTTCACAAGATGACTTATATACAGTATTTTCTGAGATGAACATTATGATGTTAACCATATCGGATACACCTTTTATACACATGCTTTGTCCTCAGAAACCAAGTACATTTAAGTTTTTGAACTTCACTCAGAATGTCTTCACAGATAGCATTTTTGAAAATTGTTCGACTTTATTTAGATTGGAGACACTTATCTTACAAAAGAATGGATTAAAAGATCTTTTCAAAATAGGTCTTATGACTAAGTACATGCCTTCTTTGGAAATACTTGATGTTAGCAGGAATTCTTTGGAATTTAATAGACATGAGGGAAATTGCACTTGGGTTGAAAGTATAGTGTTGTTAAACTTGTCTTCAAATATGCTTACTGATTCTGTTTTCAGATGCATACCTCCCAGAGTCACAGTACTTGATCTACACAATAACAAAATAAAAAGCATTCCTAAACAAATCAGAAAATTAGAAGCTTTGCAAGAACTAAACATCGCTCTCAATTCTTTAACTGACCTTCCTGGATGTGGTACTTTTCACAGCCTTTCTGTCCTGATCATTGACTATAATTTAGTTTCACACCCATCAGCTGATTTCTTCTATAGCTGTCAGAATATTACATCAATAAAAGCAGGGAACAATCCATTCCAATGTTCGTGTGAACTAAGAGAATTTATCAGAAATATAAGTCAGATATCAAGTGATGTGGTGGAGGACTGGCCTGAGTCTTATAAGTGTGCCTACCCAGAAAGCTCTAAGGGGACCGCACTCAAGGACTTCCACATGTCTCCATTATCCTGCAACCCAGCTCTGCTGATTGTCACCATTGGGCTCATCATGCTGCTGGTGGTGGTTATTGTGACCTTCCTGTGCATCTATATGGATCTGCCCTGGTATCTCAGGATGGTGTGTCAGTGGACTCAGACTCGGCACAGGGCTAAGAATGTACCTTTAGAAGAACTCCAAAGAAATCTCCAGTTCCATGCTTTTATTTCATACAGTGAGCACGATACTGTCTGGGTGAAGAATGAATTACTACCAAACCTAGAAAAAGAAGACCTACAGATTTGTCTCCATGAAAGAAACTTTGTGGCTGGCAAAAGCATCATTGAAAACATCATCAACTGCATTGAGAAAAGTTACAAGGCCATCTTTGTTTTGTCTCCCAACTTTGTTCAGAGTGACTGGTGCCATTATGAACTCTACTTCGCCCACCACAAACTCTTTCATGAAGGGTCTGATAAGTTAATCCTGATCTTACTGGAACCCATTTCACAAGACAACATTCCTAGCAAGTATCATAAGCTGAGGGCTCTCATGGCACAGAGGACTTACCTGGAATGGCCCACTGAGAAAAGCAAACATGGACTTTTTTGGGCTAATATTAGAGCTGCTTTTAATATGAAATTAACAGTAGGCACTGAAAATAATGATGTGAGAATTTAAAAGAAAAAAGCCAGGAGATTCAACTTAATTTAAGAAACCCTTGTGACTTGAATTCGGATGATCACTCTGGTTTTGTTACTATCTAGATGATGTCTCTATCATTCTCCTGCCTGCATGAAAGATTTAATGAAAACTCTGTCTCAGCTGGAGAATTGGACTGGAGAATTGGGCTGATGATTAGACAGTTACAGAAAACAATTTTTTCCCTCACATATCTAAATGTGATAGTTAAAGTTATGTGTCAACTTCACTGTGCCATGATCTAATATAATGAGATCTGCTATGAGCAACCAATCAGTTGAAAGGAAGTTTTCTCAAGGGTGTGGCCAGCCTCCAATATATTGAACATTTGGACAAAGCATGCTTGTTTTTACCTGGGTTTGGATCCTACATCTGGCTTGTCGTCTGACCACTGGTTCTTTGGACTTGAGCCAGTGGCCTGCTGTGTTGCCTACTGTATTGAGAGTAGTTAGCAGCCCGCTATCCTACCTGTCGACCTTGGATTCATCTACCTCTGCAGTCAGATGCTTGCTGCCTGACCTTGGTCTCAGCAGCCCTGCCACTACCTGAGTCACAAGAAGTCTCCAAGCCCAACTTCTGACCCACAGATTTGGAACTCTCCAACCTTTACAATGGTGTGAGCCATTTCCTTGATATAAACTTCTGTGTAATACATTTCACTGGTTTTCTGCTCTTGAGAACTCAGCCTAAGACTCTGGGTCAACGTTGATTAAATTTTAGATACTGTTACATAAATACATAATTAGCCAGTGTGAATCATAACCTAATAACCTGTATACATAAAGGGAAATCTAACCTTGGTTTATATAGATTATTGAAGTCAAAGACATAAGATTTACCTGATTGTCAAGGGAACTCAGAGCTAAATTTATTTGTAACCAAATAATAAATGATTGTCTTAGAATTTTAGCTAAGACTTCAAAGCTAACAAAAGGGAATAAATGCCCCCACATTTTAAATTGTGAGACTAGACACAGCTTTATTAGATTTACAAAACAATAGCAGAAAAGTACCTGCAACCATCAATTCATTATTCATCTCCAGTCCATATGAAAGAAGATGATATTTAAAAGGGTGATTAGAGAATTGTTGAGTGGAGGTGCCAGACCTGTGGTGAGAAAGGCAAATGAGAAAGACCCTAAGCTAGTCATAAGAAGAATAGCCTTGTATCCCACTAAAAGCTTACAGTGTAACAGGAATGAGCAGATCCTGGTGCAGCTAGTCGGAATGATGAGAAAGCTCTTGGAAGAACTTGATGAATGTCTCTGAAGTTTGGGGGATCATAGGCATTGTGGACATAAAACCCATTGCTGTCAAGTTGATGCTAACTCATAGCAACCCTGGTAAATGTTGTTGTTGTTGTTAAGTGCCGTAGAGGTAGTTCCGATTTATAGAGACCTTGTATAGGGTTTCTGAGGAGGTGGGTTTGAACTACCGACCTTGTGGTTCATAGTCCAGTGCTGATTCTACAGTGCTTGATAAATATTTGTTGAATGGATGGGTGAAAACTTCCCACCTGGAGAATTCAGAAGATAAGAGGTTAGCTTGACAACCTTGGAACCACAGGGCTCTGTGATACAGGGATCAAGGCATAGTTTGAAAAAGGGAAATAATACTAAGATGTTTGGCTGTCTTATGAATATTGATTTCCCTTGCCTACTATTGTAAAATGGACACTTGAGTTGGACAGAAAGAAATGTCAGAAAACTTGTAAGCCGTCTTTAACCTATAACTGATTGGAATACCTAAAAGGGGTCCTAGAACTTGCCCAGTGAAGTAGGCCTCCTGTGGAGCCATTGTAGTGTATAGGACCTTCCGTGGAAGCCTTCTGAGGTGGGACATTCCCACTAGAGAGGACAAGCAGACCAGCCTGGAACAGCTAGAGTGACAGAAGATACATCTTCAAAGAAAGATCATGAGGAAAAACCCAGAACAAAAATGGCAGTATGACTGGCTACTGCAAAAATAAGCAAGTTGTTTGCTGGGAAGCAATCAAGGCAAGCAATAAAGTTCCTTCAGGACAAACCCCCCTCTAAGACTGAAACTCAAAGGGAACACATGAGCAGGCATGTAAGTTTGCTGACAGCCACAGTGATCTACTGGTGAGTGGAAGGACATGGAGAGGGAGCAGCTGAGGACTCTAGATTCATGGAAAGAGAGGGACTGAAAGCTGGTGGCCAGGAGACAGACTTGCAAAATGTGACCTTTTGTTTTGTAAATTATTATATATGCCTGAGTTTTTTTTAAAAAAAGAGTGAAAGTGGATAGAGAGAAATACTGTTAACTGATGGTACATGGAGGGGATTTTAATCATTGTAATGAAACAAAGTATATGATTTAATGAATGTAAAACTGATGCCCTGCAAACTTTCACTCAATCCACAATAAATCCCTTAAAAAAAAAAAAAATAAAAAAGGTTAGCTTGAGCAGTCCAAAATGTCAGGATTAGGAAAGAAGGGAAACATTTTATAGCCTCTGCTTCCACCACTTGATATAGCAAAAATACCTAAATTTCCAGTGGATTCGCGGGTCTTGACTTGTCATGATGGGGCCTATCTAGCAGGATAGTCTATTGTACAAAGAGATGATAGCAGTGAGAGGCTACAGGGCCAGGAAGAAGAGGTGTGTGAGTGTGTGGAGTGCTGCAAAAGGCCAACCAGAGTGGTCCACTTGCAATATGGAGGCCCAGTTGAGATTTTAAAGATCCCACAGATGCACCCTTGAAAGAGTAAACATAGCTAACTACAGGGTGGGGATTCCTTATTTTTGTCTAATAGAGGACAGGATAGGACTCCCTGTAACATTTCCAATGCTGTAATCTGTATGGAAGCAGGCTGCCATATCTTTGTCCCATGGAACCACTGGTGAGTTTGAATTGTTGACCTTTGGGTTAGCAGCTGAGTGCCTTTGACCCTGCATCACCTGGGCACCCTCTGCTTGGATGAACCTTTTGGGAAGTTCTCTAGGTAACCCTGGGGTAGCATGAGAGTCTGGGTTATTTGATCGGGCAGGTCCTTCAAGGGAGAGATGCAAACTGGAAATGAAAGGACACCATGAGGAAGGGTCACAGATTGACACCTTTGCTGGATGTACTAGTTTCCTAGGGCTGCCATAACAAACCACCGAGTGACTAAAATACCAGAACTTTATCTTCTCAGTTCAGCAGGCAAGAAGTCCAAAATCAAGCCGTTGTCGGGTTGGTTACTTCTGGAGGCTCTGATAGACAATCTGTTCCATGCCTTCCTCTGAGTGTCTAGTGGTGACCAGCAATCCTTGGCATTCCTTGGCTTGTAGCTACATCACTCTGACCTCTGCCTCCCTCTCCACATGGCATTTTATTCTAAGTTTCTGTGTCTTTTCCTTTTCTATCTTGTATAAGGACGCTCTCATTGGATTTAGGGCCTGCTTTAATCCAGTATGGGCTCATCTCAACCCTTACTTTAATCACATCTACAAAGACCCCATTACAAAAAAAAATCTTTTATTGTGAATTGAGTGAAGATCACTAGTTTTACATTCAATGAATCATATACTTTGCTTCATTACAATGATTACAGTCCCCTCCATGTACCAACAGTTAACAATATTTACCTCTATTCACTTTAACTCTTACATTCATTCCTCCCTGCGTCTCCTACTACCTTCATCTTTCCTCTGCCAACCTCCTTGTTGTTATATGTTGCCTGCCCCTCACCCATGTTAACATATGTCTACCCCTTATCCCATGAATACTTTTCCCTTTCCTTTATTAACTTTTTGCTGCAGTGTAAAAAGCCCCTGTTTTAAATAAGGTGGCATTCAGAGGTTTCTGGTGAACATGGACTTGGGGTGCACACTATTCGACCCACTACACTAGAGATAGAATGACTATCTCTGTTGTTCTGAGGACTCAGCTTGGGGTGGCAATAGAAAAAAAATGAATACTGTCTTTGGGAGAAAGAAGAGTATAAAAGAAGGTTCTTGGGAAGACACTGGTGGAAAGAAGGGAGAGAAAGGCAGAGAAAGAGAATGAATGGGCATGAGAGAATAATAAACAGACGGTAGACAGATTGAGTAGAAATAAATGGGGCACATACTTAAGCTTTAAAGAGAATGAGAACACAAAAGATAATATGAGGAAAGGAAGGCATCTCTTTCTGACTACATTCCTGGAGACTGATTTGTTATGGGTCTGTTCAAGTTTTCTACTTCACTCTGTAAGTGTTTCTAAAAAGTGTTTTTCTAAATATGTATCCATCTCTTCTAAGTTTTCAAATTTTGTTGAAGTACAACTCTACATAGTATTCTGTTATTATCCTTTTGATTTCCTTTGGTTCTGTTGTGACATCGTCCATGTGGTTTCTGATGAGCGTTATTTGTGTTTTCTCTCTCTTTTCTTTTGTTAGGTTTGCCAATGGTTTGTCAATTTTATTAATCCTTTCGAAGAACCAGCTTCTTGTCCTGTTGATTTTTTCTATAGTTTTTCTGTTTTCTATCTCATTTATTTCTGCTCTAATCGTTATTATTTTTAGTTTTCGTTTGGTGACTGTAGATTCTCTCTTTGGGTCTGTTTCTAATTGTTGGAGATGCTGTGTTAATGTGTTAATTTTGGTTCTTTCTTCTGTTTGGATGTGCGCATTTATTGCAAAAATTGTCCTTTCAGCATCGCTTTCACCATGTCCCAAAGATTTTGGTATGTTGTGTTTTTGTTCTCATTTGTTTCTAGGAACTTTTTGAGTTTATGTTTAATTTCTTCTACTACCCAGTCGCTTTTCAGTAGGGTGTTTTTCAGTTTCCATAAATTTTGCTTTATTTTCTTGGTCTTCTTGTTGTTGATTTCTAGTTTTATTGTGGTCTGAAAAGATGGTTTGTAGTATTTTGATGTTTGTAAATTCATGGAGGCTTGCTTTGTGACCTAACACATGGTCAATTCTGGATGGAGAATGTTCGATGTACACTGGAGAAGAATGTGTATTGTGCTGTTGTTGGGTTGAATGCT